ATCCTTGTTGATTCAGAGCTTTTTAAGTTTCATTCTTCAGCATTCTTTTTTATTGTTTGCTGATGACATTTTTGGTCACAAATGGTATATACCAAAGGAATTGTTGTAAATGCAGACTAATTCATAAAATGCATTACTTGTTGTCTTTTATCTTCTCTTTTTTTCTACGTGTATTCATGACTCTAGTACAACCCAACATCTGAGAATCAAAAATACAGTAGCAGAGATGCTTTCTCTTAAAGTAACGCACATGTTTTTCAAAGTGTGCTGGCTGTGCTAAGAGCAAATGCAGTAATTCACACTAGAAATGAGTAGGCATAGGATGTTCCAGAGGGGTGAAGGGAAGCTTATTATAAAAATAGTGATTGAGTAACTTCAGACTTAAATTACTTTTTCACTTTTGGGAAGGGGGTATGTAAGCAGGGTTTCCCTGTAGCCCATCTGGCCTGGATCTTGACCAGGCTGGTCTTGATCTCACAAAGATCTGTCTGCCTCTGCCACCATATTCCCCCCTCCCCCCCAACTCTTTCATTCAAAGAATTCAGAAACAAATTTAAACATTTTATGTCTTCTTTATTTTATTTTTATTTTTATTACCCTTTGTTGTAGCTGATAACTTACTCAGATATACTTTGTGGTTTACTTTTGTCTTTTATTCAATAGATTGGCTGTTTTAAGAATATTGATGAATTGTTTTTCTTTTCATCTGTTCTACTTCATCTTCATCATTAGTGGATGAAAAATCACATTTGGGTTAGTTGTCTCTTGCTTGTTTTTGAACTAGACTTGACATTTAGATCTTGTGGAATGACTAGTCCCAGTAACACTTTTGAACCATATCTTTTCTAGAAGAATGAGAAAATACAATGTAATTTTGTTAGATGTTGAGGTTTTGTTGTTGTTAGGTTTGTTTCGCAATGGGATCTGGCCATGTAGCTCTAACTGGCGTGGAACTTGTTACGTAGCCCAGTCTGATTTCCCCTCCTACTCAGCCTCCTCAGGTGTGAAATTGCAGATGTGTACCCACATCTGGCATGAAAGTTGTTGCCTTTAGGATTAGGAAGTTAAACTCTGTAGTGCCTACTTTAGATGCCACAAGACACAATTCTCCTTTTCTTCTCAGTTCTTGATTGGTCAGTGAAATACGTACTAAATTATCTATTCAGAGTACTTTTCTAGGGACTAGAGAGAGATTCTGCTTTCGTTAAAAAACGTTCTTTGTTTCTGATTGCCAACTGTTTTTGGACACTTAGAGGAATGTGTGGGAAGTTTATTTTTATTTATTTTTTATAGAAATTCCTTTGAACCAGTAAGAGTAAGTGATAAAAGGTAAGGCCAGGTGTGATGGTGCCCGTGGCTCTTGCCTTTAATCCCAGCACTCTGGAGGCAGAGGCAGGCAGATTTCTGTGAGATCAAGGGCATCCCTATCTACATAGTGAGTTACAGGTCAGGTGAGACTACAACGAGACCCTGTTTAAAAAAAAAAAAGAAACAAACAAAAATAAAATAAATTTAAGAAAAATGTGTTATTATGCTACCAACTCATGTATAATGTTTTATTTTTATAGATAATCTGTACTTATAAGCAGCAAGTTAAAGTTTAGAACAGTTGTAGCACCACAAGCAAGTGGAAATCTTGGTCTTTATCGTAGAATCAAGTTCCTAGTTGCATTATGTACCTGTGATTCCAGCACTGGCAAGTAGAGGCAGGAAAATAAGAAGTTAAGGGCCAGCCTGGGCTACATGAGGCCCTGTCTCAAAAACCAAAACCAACCAAAGAACCATGTTTTTCTAGTTCATTGCTTAAAAATAAGTGCTGTCTTCACTTTTTCTTTATTAGAAATGCTTAAAACTAATAAAGCGTATATATATATCCGTTTAATAATTTATTACTGAGAACAAATTTTGCAAGGATTCTCATTTGAAATACTTTTCAAAGGAATTTCTCTTTCTCCGTGGTATCTATATCTCTATATAATATATAGCATTAATTTTTGAATTGAATATAACTGGATTTCCAGTGTGAATCTTTAAAACTTTTGACAGTTGTAGAGAATGTTAAGGCAGGTATGTTGATGTGCTGTAGTTAGTAGATACTGATACCTGTTTGTGGTGACATCATAGCACTGCCAGTTTTTTTAGCTTTGGTTTGAAATTTATTCTCTAGTGGTTGCATTTTAGACTTGCAGAAACCTTGTCCTTTTAAAATAACACCTAGAGGGGTGCTGTTGATTAGAGCAGAATTAGATAAAGTCTGCTGTGTTCTCTTGAGCTACATCAGTGCTCTTTGCAGACACCTCTTAACTTGTTTGAATAATGACCATTTTGGAATGGTCTGTACATTTTTCTATGTAAATGATATGTCATCAAGTCCAGAATTTTCATATTATAACTTGTAGTAAAAGGAACTCTTAACTCTCCTGAATGATTTTAAAATAATTTTTATTTAGAAAAATCTGTGTTTTATTGTTGCTGATTGCAGATACGTTGAAATTGATGGTAAAGGCCAAATAGAGGTCTTCTGAAAGTACTCTGACTTTGGAAAGTTTACAGATGGAGCCATTTCTTGAGCCAACTCTTATTTAACTCAGCCCTTTAATGTAGCCTGAGGATATTAGGTTCTTTCTCCCTTTGTTGCTAAGCTCAAATGGTTGTATTTTTCACATGCTTTCTGGGAGTAAATCAAGGGTTTGGAGATGTTCAACTTAAAGCTACCATTGAAGAAGTGAACTTATCCTAAAGTTAATCTGAGCAAGTATGATTTCTAAACTTAAAATGAAAATTGCCAGTTATTTGTTTTGAGATGGACCTTCCTCTTTTGCCTCTTTTCACTTAGTCTTGTGATATGATTGACTGGAATTTGATAGCTGGGGGGAAAACTGGGAAATGTGGAAAAAAAATCTTACCTTGTTTATAAATTCTGAATAGATTTTTAAAAACTAGCTTGATTATTATAGTTAAAATTTATTAATTGCAAAATCTTAAATACTTCTTAGTGGTCTATATTGAAATACACAAAAAAAGAATAGTTTGCCAAGATAATTAATTTTAAAAAACCCAGAGTTTTACTGTTTAGTAATTTTAAAAGCATTTTTGTGGCACTTACTGCATTGTGTAGGTAGAATGAAAACGTTTGAGATAATTCTGACATACTGCATTTAAACCTTTTGCATGTTAAAGAATTATCCCATAAGAATTCCAGCAATGGAATAATTTGTTCATTTTTTAAAAAATTCTTGGAACTACCTAATTAGAATGCATTTCTTGAACTACCCTGTGTTCAGATCTTTGTTTTAATTTGTGCTCCTTTCCTCATCGTTCCTCATCTACCTCCTTGGTGTGTAATACTGTAAAGTATCTTTTTAAACCCACTGATATAAAAATGCAGTCAACTCAAAGCTAAGAGACTTTAGAACTTAAAGTCTATTGGAAACATCAAGTGAGGATGGAGCTGCCTCTTGGATTCATGAAGTACTTTCTGTGGTTATTTATTCGATCCTTCCTTCCTGTGGCAATTTCACCTCTGCTACTTCCCTTATTTTCATTTCTCTTAATTTTTGGAAATTATAGGTTATGTGGTTAAATTCATCACAGGTTTTCCTTACTCATTTCTGCAGAGTTGAATGTGTTTGTAAGCAGATGGGTTTAGTTCACTCTGTTCATCTTTAGGCTTCTGAAAAGATTCATCTCCATGTTGTTAGATAATGGAATAACCATTCCTTTTCAGCTGTGGTATATTTCCAAACTGGCTGCCAGAGCCAGGAGGAAGTGAAGGCATTAAAACACTACCTCCTTAATGCTGAAACTATAACCTTTGTTGGTTGTTTGATAGAGAACAAGAGAACACAACCCTCGTTCCACTAGCAGGTAAGGAAACCTTCTGATAACCAGTTGGTGTGAGAGGGAGAGGACTTGGTAGCAATTTTTTCTTAATTTACCCAAAATACAACATGTCCCAGAAATAGGACACTGTGACTGACTATAATCACAGAGCAGGGACATGCAGCACCTTTCTATTTAGAGGAAGATCTGAAATTTAACAGGGATTTATCAGTCTGTACCACAAAGATCCCTTTCCCCAAGGCAACACTTAAGAAATGTATCCTGCAATTCCTGTAACTTTAAATACATACCTGCCTCTCTTACTCTCCTTTCAGCTTTTCCTTGATGAGATGCTGTGCTTTGACTTTCTTCTCTCTGTTTACCTCATTCCTACAATAAAGCTATTTTCCACTATCTTTCTCATCGTCTATTATTTGGCATATCTTGCTGCTTTATTTCTGCATTGTAGCCATTAATGATTATTCCTGGTTCATCTTGATCCCAACAAGATGATCACACATTTTACAAAGTTTTTAAATCTCTATTACCTGTTAACATTAACTTGTCCTCCCAGTTTCAAAGATGAGTGAGTGCTCAAAGAATAAATGTTTTTCAGTGACAGAGCATTGATACAATGCAAGTTTAACTTTTTATTGCTCTAGTATTGGCCCACAGTGTGACTAATTCTTTAAATTACTGAAGACTTAAACTGCTAAATTCAGCTTTGTAGACATTCTGGAAGTTTAGTAATGTTCCTGTTAATATGCCCAATTGTTCTGTTCCTACTTTCAGTCCATCTTGTTCTCTTTGATAGAAGATTTAGCTGGGACTCCATTGATGTAGCTGAGGTTGAATGCCTTCTCCCTGCCCCTTGAAAATGACTGTGATCTTGTTTCCAGTCGTAATATATTATTTTTTTGCTTCGATCTTCTATTTGAAGATGAGTGATTTGTCACAGAGTGTGTTATGGCTTAGACCAATACAGGTCCCTTCTAAATAGCTACTGAGGAATTAATCATTTGTGATAACAAACTTCCAAAATTCAAATTAAGAAGATACTTAAGAAAGTTTGCCCACCAAAGATAGCTCCTTTTTGTCCTGAGGATAAGCCATTACAAACTCAGATGACCAGAGCATGTAATTTCTTGATAAGAATTTCTCCTTAAATCTATATTCAGCTCTCTATTGCAGTGTTTCTCTCAGGTGCAAGGAGTGATCCTAGAACCACAGATACAGCCAAGACCACGGAGAGCTTTTGACGTCAGGGGTCCACTTTCTCCACTGAACCCTTGGAGACAGAGTATCCAGCTTCTGGAGAGAGTGGGAAAGGGTAATAAACAAGTGGGTGCTTTCCATTATTTCCTTGGGTTTATTTATAAATTGGAATGTCCTTCCATTGCCCATTTATTCTGTTGGTAAAATCCTTGGCTTCTTTAGAAGAGCCAGGTGGGGCTACAACCTGTTTGTTTTTCTAAGAGTGCTATCTAGTGCCCATTCAAAAAACAAACATGAAATTTATTTAATTTTCTCTCCAGATAATTAAAGCTGTGGATGATTTGGGGCACACAACTTGGTCAATGCCTGTGTAATTCACAGGAGTTGAATAAAGGCAGTATTTCCCCACTTTGACCTTTATGGTAATAGTGGACTTTTAAGTGCTCTTTTATAGTCCAATAACTTAAGTTTCTGTATTCTTCTCTGGGTGAGCGGGACATCTGAAATCTCTTAATTTATATGGTGAGATGTCCGGGTGTTATCTGAACCTGTTAGTGAACGTTTTGGTCTTTCTCCTATCCTAAATGTTAGGCCTTCATATTAGATCTTTTAGAAGATGGAATGACAGTACTGTTGTGGTTTTACTGTCAAATACAGGCTTCATTTTTTAATAAATATGAATGAGTATAAGTTTCAGGATATAAAATCCCTGAAAGAGACACTTAATATGCTCAAAAGTAGTTTTCCAGTCCCTAGGAATGATATTTGTGGCAAAAGAACCTTTCGCTAGATTTTTCCCATAGCAATAAGATGGTTGTCTCTTAGTTTCTTTGATGCCAAGGGTAGGATTTGATTCTAGAAGTTCTTACCATCTACAGTGGGTAGAATGTGAACTTGGTGCCTTTGGCAAGTTTTCATTTTTTCCTTGGTGGATTCCTTCTGTGACTCCAGGTATCTTGATAATGGGAGACCGGTTTATTTGTTCTCTAATTGCCCAGATTTCTTTCAACTGGTAAAACATCATACTTCAGCAAAAGGAGTTCTTCTAGCAGAGCCTTCATGGATGATATCTGTCACACATGCCAGCATCTGCAGTTTGGAAGGCAGTGGTGAATGGACCCATGCAATATGTCTAGAAGACACAAGGATGAGCCAGCCACCTGATCTTGTTACTTACAAGCTTTTAAGATTTACTCTGGTTTATTTTTGGTCTGAAAATGAAAAGGCTCAAATAATGAAATAATCTTTTCAGGTTGGAGTTTTACATGGCCATGAAAATATTTCTTTCTACTAAGAAGACTGAAATAGAAAGCTTGAGGGAGTTTTCTTTTAAAGCAGCTCTCTGTTTCTGTTTCACTTAAAAGATTTGCAGGATTGAAAATACCTTAATAGTAGAAACCTCCCTTTTAAAAAAGTAATATAAGAAATGCAAAAAGCCTGATGAGTCCCCTGCCTACTTTTTTTTTTGAATACCTAATACTTAAAAGGGACTAGTAAATAAAAAGTGGATTTTATTATTCCAGTGTTAGTTTTAATATTAGGATATACTACTAGCTCATCCTTTGTTGGTTGGTCTTGAGCCTTATCCTTATACATTTGTCAAATCAACAAAGTAGTAGGAGCTATCTTGGACATCAAAGTAGCTCTGTCTTCTAAAGTAATAAATACATGCTAAACTTGAGGTATTGGATTTATTCTACACTAAAGGCATACTAAAGTTTGAGTGGTACAGAGCAATTGTTTACAGAGCAGAGGTAATTTGAAGTGTTAGAATAAGCCTGTAGGCATGAATGCCTGTCCAAAATAGTTATCCAAACTGTCTATTGATAGTAGCTATCAAAATGTTTGTTTTTCTTTGGTTATCTATTAACTGGTTAATCAGAAGTTGTTAAGGAGAAATTTAAGAGTCATCTGATGCTGCCAGTTTTATTTTAGAATAAGTTTTAGAGAAGAGAAATTACAGGATTAGTAATATAGAAACAACTAAAATGTTTTAGGATCTCAAAGGTGTTGAAATCAAATTTGCTAAAATGTAGCCTGCCTTTAGTCTTTCTTGACTGTAAGAACTATTTTTTCCTCATTAATTTAAAATGATTTTTCAGAAGTTTAGTACTTAAAAGTATTAAAGATAATTTTAAACTAAAATTTTCCCCAGAGAAATCTGAATTTTCACAGAATGATTACAGCTTTGTATTCCTGGCTTGTTAATAAGATACTTTATAAACCCAAACCATCTACCTAATATTTTAGAAAGAACTCGGAGAACTAAAGAGATTTACTATCTAAAATTAACTAAAATTAAGATAGTTGTATGCTTTGAACCATAGCACAAAGAATTCTACGGTCTCTGATGTCATTAGCCTTTTGACTCAGCATTGAAGATAGAAAGTGATTTAATCATATAATCTCATGCTTTAGTTAAATTTTAGCTTTGTTTCTTAAGGGTGCAAAAGAAATTAAGTGCATTTCCATTTACCTCATGCCAGTATAAGCTTTTTAAAAGTGAAATTTTTTGTATATTAATGTGTGAACTGCTTTGTTTATTTAAACTTTAATTTTATGCATTTTTCTTTCAGATTTTTAAAGAATAATATGTTATAATATGCAATCTTATATTTTTCCATGTTTATTATGAATATTCATATAAGCAATTTTTTCTAGAATGATTGTGTAATATTTGTATTATGTGATCATTTCAAAACTAATAAATATTTTCTCCATGAAAAAATGCACTTACTGATAAATGGCTTATTTCTGTTTCAGGAGTGGAAAGTGAAAATTGCAAGAATATTTTTAAGTGTACTTTAATGTGTCTTTCTCTAAGTATTTCTGAATATATATATTCTTCCATCTAATATTTTGAGACAAAAGCTGTTAATCATTAAAACTCAACTTGAGTGAATATGTTAACTATTGGGATAATTGGTCAACTTTTTTGAGACTAGGTTGATCAGAATAGAAGCCCTTATAAAACAGGATACATAAACAGTTCCTCTGTTCAAAACAGAAACATTCAGAAATAATGGCTGGTTGGAAAACTGATTGATGAGTTGTTATCAAGAGAAGAAAAGTGTCATCTGTTTTTTAATGTTCTGCTTAAACAAATAACAGATCTTGACTTCAGAGTCTGTCGCTTTTAACTTTATCAAGACACTAGTTTTGGTGATTACTGTCTTTGTAACCATATAAATTTTACTTAATGCCAACCACCAGTGCAGTTTCCCTTTCTTATGCAGAACCTGTTAGAAGCAAGAGGGTTGCCTTTTGGAGTTGAAGCAAAGTTATATAAGAAGTAGACTCCAAAATGTTAAGTATAACAGTAAGATGGAGTCCTATACAAGAAAGAAAACTTGAATGCATGGCAACCTGTGGATTTGGCTTCCCGGAGAAATTATACTCTGAACAAAGTGAGAATTATAAAAGGAAATTTTAATTTGAAATAGCTACCATATTGGGAAGGGGAGAAGACACCAAAATTCTTGGCTTTGTTCATCTGGTAAGTTTGGAAAAGATGAAGTTAAGTTTCTGTGGGAAAAGTTTTAATATCTAGAGTTAATACTTAAAAGGTTCACAGACCTATTTCAGTGGAAGGTTGTATTTTGTATTCAAAAAATATGTAAGTCTTTTCTATAGGCATATAAAAAGGTTGGATGTGATTTAAAAAATACGCCCTGCATTGGAAACCTTAGAACTATTGCAAAGATTGTGGTGAAGTGAGCGTTTTAAGTTCTTTCTCTTAGCATGAATTTTTTCCCTACACTATTGATAGCCTTCAAATAAAATACAGCCAAGTTGGATTGGTTTACCACTGTCTTCAAGATATCATGGCTTCACCATCATTCATTAGATTAACTGTAGTATCAAAATCTGTTTTCATGGTTCTTTAGTGATGGATCAAAGGTTGGGTTTTCTTGGGGAGGAGTTTTGGGGAATCTTTTGATAGCTTCTTTCTAAAGTCACAAGCCAGTGACTGCAAAGTACTGAGCTTCAAGCTCATTGTAACTTGGTATAAGGAACTTAGTTTCCTTTCTACTGCGGAATGCTTGAGCGGTCAGTGCTCAGATGTCCCAAGCAAGTAGTTTTCATGTTCATTTACTTTTGTTTCCTAATAAGAGAATTTTGTACTAATTTGGATCTAAATGTGAAAAATTCATGTTTCAAAGTAATCACACAGGTGCTCTAGAGTTTTTTTCCACTAGTATATACATCTAGTGTATAAGGTAAAATAGATTTTGGCAGTAAAAATACTAGGAACTTTGAAGTGCATCGGAATTTTCAGAAATTATGATCAAAGGAATTCTCTGCACAAGAGGTAAGGTACGGTGCAGTTAGAAAGATGTTCAGGTTCAAAATGTGGTCAGTGCAATGCCTGATGACGAACTACACCAGACAGACTCACACTTCTCAGAGAGGTAAAGAATTAGGAAAGTAATTTTCTTTAAAACTTTTCTGGAGAATACAGGAATAGACAAATCAGAAATTTGTTTTTACATGTTTGGAGTTTATCTAGAAATATCTCCACAGACATTGTGTCTATGTACAAGTGATCCCTATAGTAAAGCCATTAAGGCAGTTTCTACCTTTGTGCTCTTAGTGTTTATGATCCATATTTAATTTAATGGGTTTTGTTTGAGACAATGGTCTGGTCTTCCTATGTAGTGCAGGCTGCCCTTAAACTCATGATCCATCCATCTCCCCCCCCCCCCCGGCAAAGCGCCCCTGCGAACCAGGGCTTACGGGGGGGCGCACGGTGCTCAGGCATGAAG